TATGGAGAACAGATTTTGCTCCCTCAGAGCAAATTAGACAGGTGATGTCTGTGATGATCCGTTTGAAGGATAGCACGGCGTGTACGAGAAGGAAACCACACACCATCTTACAATAAAAGCATTTCAACTTGGGTGGGAGAGATAGATTCCATAGGCACTTCCAAAAGGAGGACTCATAGGGTAAAAGTGGTGGGGGGTAGCGTTGTCGGAGTTCTGTTGAGAGCAATTGATATCCAGTCTTGACAGTATACTCTCCAGAGTCCGAGTAGTGCCAAATCAGTTTGTTTGGAACAAGTTGAGAAGGTAGCGGAATAAATAGGATAAGAGCAACAGAGTCCACTATAAAAATGGATTGCAAAAGATCAAGTTTCCAAGAGTGAGAATTATGACAGATTAACTTAGAAACAAATGTGAGAGAAAGGAAAACACCCTCAAGCAAAGATGGAGTGGAGGGAGGAGAGGGAAGCCACTTATCTGTCATGATACGAACGGCTGAACCGCTGCCAATGCGCCATCGCACCCCTAGTGCCAGAAGATCTCAACCTTCAAGGATGCCTTGCCAGGCCCAAGAAGGGCGAGATCCAACCCTAGCAACAAAGAATTAGGGTGGTATTGGGCTTTGTAGAGGGTTGTCAGCGTTGAGTCCGGATTTTGAAGTAACCTCCATGCTTGCTTAGCGAGCAAGGCAATGTTGAAGCAGTCAAAGTCTCGGAAACCAAGGTCCCCTTCAAACTTACTGTAGCAGACTTCTTGCCACGATAACCAATGGATGCGATCCTCCTTGTCCTGACCAGCCCACCAGAAGCGTGACAGTTGGCCATTCAACCTGCGACAAGTGAAGGACGGAATACGTAAGGCAGACATACTATAAATCGATGTGGTTGAGCCAATGGATTTAATTACAGTTTCCTTTGCTGCAAGTGACATAGCTTTAGCTTTCCATGCTCGAATACTTGTTGCCAAACCTTCCTCCAGAAATCGGAATGTTTGTGTTTTAGATTGTTGGATTTGGACCGGCAAGCCAAGATATTGTCATTTATACCCAACTCTGAAACTTCTAAGAAGGCAGCAAGATTTTCACGTTCCTCTGCAGTCACATTTGCACTTACACAGATGGACCACTTCTATAAGTTCACCCGCTGTCCACTAACAAGACCATATTCCTCAAAAATTGCCAAAAGGTGAGCACATTCTGGGATTGAAGGCCGAAGGAATAAATAGGTATCATAATTAAACATTAAATGTGATGTCAGTGGAGCACGTCTATGAATTTTGAGACCATGAAGGGCATTATCGTTAATTTCCCGAGATATCTTGGTTGTGAAAGCTTCAGTATAGGGGATAGGGGATCACCTTGCCTAATACCCCGTTGAGGTTTAAAGTATCCGTGAGAGGTATCATTGATAAGGACCGAGAAGCTTACCATCGAAATGCATGCTTTAATCCACCGCAACCAGATCTGCCCAAACCCCATTTCCTGCAAAACCAGAAGAAGAAACGGCCACTCTACACGGTCGTATGCCTTTTCCATGTCTAATTTCAAAGCCATCCATTTATCTCGACCTTGATTCTTTGTTTTGAGAAATTGCATTACTTCCTGACCAATCAATATATTATTAGTAATGGAGCGACCCCGGACAAACCCATTTTGATGCAAGCTCACAAGATCCGGGAGAATGGAACCTAGACGACTCGCTAAAACCTTTGCAATGATCTTATAGAAGACTTGACACAGGCCAATAGGACGGAGTTGGCGCATGGAATTAGCATTAGGTACCTTAGGAAGCAGAGAGAGCCACGTGTGGTTGAAGCAATGGAGTAGTCACCCGGAAGCAAAGAAAGATAACACAGCACTACTAATGTATTTGCCAACAAGCTCCCAATTCACTTAGAAGAAGGCTACTGTAAGTCCATCCGAGCCCGGTGCCTGAAAGCTACCTATGTTGAAAACAGTTAGCATGATCTCTGCCATTGTGATAGGGGCTTCCAAGAATCCATTCGTTTCTCTTGTTACTTTCCTGGGCAGCCACAAGTGATGAATGTATATGGTGGGATAAATGTTGTTTGATGTAAACAACACCTTATAATAGTCAATGGCGATTCCAGCCATGTCTTCCTCATCATCGTGAGTATCATCTTTAAGACCCCCAATCCGATTCCCCCGCCTGCGTAGAAGAGTGACAACGTGGAAGTATTTGGTGTTCGAGTCACCCCCTTGTAGCCAATTAACACGAAATTTATGCTTCCAAAACAGTTCCTCTTGGTGCTAGGCATCCGCCAGCTGCAGCTCTAACTGTTTGATAAGGTCCCAGTCCACAAGTGGCTCCTCCCGCGCAGCTTCAATTGCTCTTTTGAGTTCCCGAATATGCCTGGCTGAGTTCGAGGTCCCAATTCTTGCCCACGCCAGTAGATCATGCCGAACATTCTTTACTGGTTGAAAGCCGGAATTGTTGTCCCATGGATCTCTTTACTCCAAGCTACCTTGATGATTTCTAGTGCTTCAATATTGGAATTTCATCGGCCGTCAAAGTGGAACCGCGCTGTGGATCTGCCTGGCTGGGGAGTAAGCTGCAACAAAAGCATACGATGGTCTGAACCAAGGTCCGTGAGGTGTATGACCTTGAGGGTAGGCCACGTAGCAAGGACTACATCATTGCCTAGGCACCGGTCTAGTCGTTCCATGATATGGTCTGAGGCGGATCGACGATTCGACCATGTAAATGGGGAGCCATGACACCCCAAGTCCATTAACCCTGCTGCATTGATGAAGTCATTAAGCTGAGTTAAAGCGACTAAGGATGGGGAACTTACCGCCGACCTTCTCCACAAAGCTAAGAAGTCAATTAAAATCACCAATGACAAACAGAGGGGAAGACACAGATGAAAGAAAAGGAGCAGTTGATTAAGGTGATCCTGCCGAATGGCTATATCACAAGAAAGATGCCCAAATAAAATAGCAAAGGGACCCAAACTAGAAGCTGTACAATCTACCACAGAAAGGAATTATGAAAGAAAACAAAATGTACATGAGACATAAGGACTCCAAGCTACTGCAATACTACGACTCCCATTGGGAGAACTATGACACTGAACATCCCTATACCCAAGACTAAATTTGTTACGAACAAAGTCCTCATCCCGTCTAGTTTCAAACAAGAAGACAAGGAGAGGTTGGAACCGAGTGACGACTCCACCTAGCGTAGGAACTGTCAAGGAGGAGCCCATTCCTCGACAATTCCAAGCCAGAATGCTCATGGGGTGGATTGGGACCAGTCCGGGCTGGTTTCGTCCACCCTATCTTTGGTCGTTTGAGCCTCTATTGTCAGACGAGCACACTTTGCTGTCGGAGAGGAAGAACTTGGAAGCAGCCCTGCCTCTGGGGAGTCACGCATCACCGCGTTCGACAGATTGATAGCAATAGGAGACGCCACAACCCGCTGAGAAGAAGTCGTGTTCGCTTGGAGTCTAAGTGACTGCAGCTGAACTCCTACACGCCTAGCAAGCAGTCTGCGTGTGTCCTCCCACATGGAGCTCGAGTTTCCAATCGTTGTTGGAACTATAGAAAGCACCACAGGGCTTGAGGTTGGAACCCGAAAGGTCCTTATCCCATGAACGGGAGGGGAACGTGGAGCCTTTGCCCGTAGCCAGGTGAACCGTCTCTTGCGTTTGGCTAAGGTGCCCTCCGTGATCTTGTCTCCGGAGTCAGTTACCAGCAAGAACTCCCCATATCTCGGCGGTGCAGCACCCAATTCGGCCTTCTGAGGACAAGCAGCTCCAATATGCCCTATAATCCCACACAGGAAACAGAAAGTAGGAACCTTTTCAAACTTAATCCTGGCAACGAAGTTACCTTTGCCTGGATCCACATGGCCTGCCGTAATCTCGTCCTAAAGGGGGTCAAACTATCCAACACCGGTTCCGCCCGGACATAGAGGTTGCCAGAAATCTCCGCCTGATGCAGGGTTGGTGGAGTTGTTTGCCCCAAGGCCGAGCCCAGGCGGTTGGCCATCTTTGCCGTGAAGCAATCAAATGGAATGCCCCAAATGTGCACCCTTAAAGACACCCAACGAATACGATCCGCCACTTCCTGCGAGGGTTGCATCCAAGGTCCCAAGGACAGAAGGAACTTGGGGAAGATCCATATCTAACCAGTTGATGTCGTCTGCATGTCAGACGGGGAGGAAAAGACCAAGTGGGTGAGCCCAAAATCAAATGGAGAAATTGAAAAATCCCCAACCGGTCGCTAGACGCGAGAGAGCATGGTCTTGACAATTAAAGCGACAGTGGCACTCCAATCAACCGCCCAATCGGGGATAGTTCCCCTCGACGAGTTCCAGCCGCCACATCCTCGTCAGTGAATTGAATGAAAATCGCCATCGCAACCACCCGCCGAGGAAGGAAGAAGCCCAAGATGTCCGGTGATACAAATCGAACAGGAGGAGATACACAACGTTGATGAGTGGGAAGGAGCGAGCATTTAAGAATATCCTCCCCACCAGGCCCGGCGCCAGTGGCGCACGTCGGCGAATAGCTTGGACGAGAGCACGTTGGGTTTTTTTTTTAGTAGAGGTTGAGCAATAAAAAATTTTATTTTTATGTTTTAATGATGAAAATTATGAAATGAAAATAATGAAAAATTTAATTTTAATATTTTTTAATTGTCACATCATATATTTAACGGTCAACTTAAAGAGTTGACTACCACATAAACAAAAGTTAACGAAATTGGACGAAGAATGACCAAACTTGACATTTTTTTAGTGACCACAAATAAATAATTTTTTAGTAATTTCAGTGATCAATCATAGTATTTACCGAATGGAAATGTAATAGAACAATCTCCATCTGCTTTGGCAATTTAAAAACCAGCTTTCAGCAAGTATGAATGGAGGATCATATATGTCACATGAAGCAAAATGTATCATCGAATTGAAATTTTAGCCTACAGAAACACTATCAATTCACCGTCCACTCAGATCCTGTGCATAAACACTTCAAGCTTCCTCAACAAGATCACGATGTCCGCAATATATATAAATATGAATATACTGGTCTCAACTTTCATGTACACGGTGTATGATATCACAGGTAAGTCTCCTACCTTTACCACGCTGTATTAACCCACAACCATATGATTAGGGATTTTGTACTTTCTTAACAATAATTAAACTCAAAATCAAAACCAGAGATGAAAATGGAGAATACAAGAGTAGTATATAGTATAGGCCCTCCAGTCAAAACTGCACCCTCTCTGACAGAAGATAAAGCAGGTCAGCTGCTGCTGGTTACTGTTGGAGCAGTAAAAAGAAAACAGGATTCTCCAGTCACCCTCTTTCAGCAGCTCAGGAAAATGAAAATCTAGAGAGGAGAGAGAGACCAGATCCAGATGCATCATTAGCAGGAGTTGGTGATGGAGAATCCTGCGATGCCCGGTACGCTTGTTGACATTTTTGGACCTGATATTCCAATACAGGTCCAACGTTAACAAAAGTCTCATATGGCCTCCTCACACTGAGAAGACAGAAGGCTATATGTAGTTGAAAGAATCAAACTTCACCTCCTCTGGACTGAATTGAAGAAGCATCGCAACAACAGGGAGCAGAGCCTCCACTTCACCTGTTCATATAATTTTAGTCAAGTATCTCTTAGTCCAAGGCTTCGGTCAAGAGTCTAAGAAGGGAAAGGAATGGGTAAATGACACATTTGGTCACTGAGATTACTAAATTGTGTCATATTTAGTCACTAGAAGAATTTAATATCAATTTTGGTCACTCGAATTACTGAAACAGGTCACATTTGGTCACTCTTCTGTAGCCTCTGTCCAACTCCGGTCACTCGAATTATTGAAAAATGTCACATTTAGTCACTCGGATTACTGAAACATGTCACATTTAGTCACTCTCCCAAAAGTTTCCGTCCAACTACATTAATGGAGTTGGACGGAAACTGACGGGAGAGTGACTAAATTTGACCAGTTTCGGTAATTCGAGTGACCAAAATTGATATTAATTTTTTCTAGTGACTAAACATGACACAATTTAATAATCTCAGTGACCAATTGTGTCATTTACCCGGAAAAATAATAGGGGTTTTGGATGAGCTCAGAGACCAAGAGGCACAGCTACCTGTTTCAAGAAGCTTCACGATGACGTTTTTCAGATATGTCAAGTCAACACCATCTCTTTTCTGTGTTCTCTCCATGCTTCGAAACTCAGATTTCAACATGGACACCTACCACCAGCAAATCCAAATATACATAGTCATGCAGCAAGTGTTCAGATATATCCAACATACTTTGTCTATAGTCTATAATAATGATTACTTTTACTACCTGTTGGCTGTGGAGACGATTTTCCCTTTCAAGTTCTTCAATCTCCTCCTACAGTAAAACAGTTCTCAGTATCTGCATCACATGAATAAAAAGAGCGAAAAATGAAACAAAAAAGGCAGAGGTAGCTGATTCTGAAAACAAACTTGAAGTGCTAAAATATGCCGCTGTGACTGTGCTAGCTCTTCCTCTCTTTGAGCCTGTTGCCTTGCAAGAAGCTGCAAATTCAAGAAATACTCTTCAAGAGCAAAATAATTGTGGGAAGCCATGATGCACAGTTGGACAAAGGCATCAGTAGTGGAATAGACAGTAAAAGGAACAAAAACGTGTCATGCCTTGATTTCCTTTTCAGGCTATGTGCATATTAACAACTTTGAACAATTCTCATTAGTATATTTTGTAACTACATGTTGACTAGTTGATCCAATCTATAAAACATGCAGCTCCAGATTTCAGAAGACCACAGCTGAACGCAAGCAATAAAAGCATATTATTGAACACACTTTCCTATCATTCTTCCCTGAAACAGGCACTAGGACAAATTATGACTGCTGTTTGCTCCCTACTGATACTTCCCAATGTTTTCCCCCGTCAACTGACCTCTACAAAAATTGTGGCACATGATAGTTATAAAAGAGGCTACAGTACCAGAATCTGGTGTTCAGCAACAGAGGTGCTTAAGTTTCCTGCATCCTGGTTGTGGAAGGCTGAATCGCCGCCAATGCAAAGGAGAGAGACCCAGCAAAAGAGTTAATGAAGCCTTTAAGATCCAGAAACGACGCTGTTCTATAGAAGTAGTGAGAGACAACAAAGCTCCTAGTACCTGTGAGACTACTTTCCTTTTGATCAGCCTGAGACGAATGATAAAACCCAGAGTTAACTAAATGCATACCTTTTTTATCAAGAGATACATCCCACACATTTTCACTGAAGGGAAAAGAAACATACTGATGTGCTAGAATCCAGAGACTGGCGAAGCTTCTTATTATCACCAATAAGTTTTGAAATCTCTTTGTCTTTATCCTCAATCATTCTATCAGCAAGGTCACGGAACGCGCTATGCTCTTCCTACAAGTCATCCAAGTAACTCATCAGTCCGAGTTACTAAAGTTACAGTGAACTTATGATGAAGAAAAGGCCAGACTAAAGTACCTTCACTTTTTTATATTGAAGTTTGAGTTCTTCTAGCTGTCTTTGGATATCTTGCCCACAAGAAGCTTCGGTCTCAGCTTTAATTGCCTCACACCTCACTGCAGACAGGTTACCCCACTGAAAGCTCAGCATACATCCTAAGGCAATAAAAACAAAAAGACAATTGTGGAAGACTACAGTTAAATGATGCTAATTGTGTCTCACATCTCCATGCTTCTTCCAAGTTTTGAAGGTTTATCTCCCATGATTCTTTCTCTGATTGGTGATGAGAAATGGCAGAATCCAGCTTTCGTTCTATGCTCTTGATCTGCTGACGAGCCTCATTCAGAGCTTCATCCCTGAAACAGGTAACAATGGAGATGTCTAAACAACTGTCCAAACGCAAAGTTGGATATTGCATTCAGACGACAAAGTATAATGAAGAGAGAATTAAACAGGAATTATGTCAGAGTAGATAGTCATTCAAGCCCCATGTGCAGTGAGGTGCAAGGCATAACCCAACATGCACATATGAAGTGTGGAAGGAATTCATGAAGACACCAATATTTAATATCATAACACAAATTTGAATACATTCACAGCATTTTTTCACTCATCCCCTTATTCAGGGTTTGAGGGAAAGTGAACTGCATGTAACTAAAAAGGAAAAGGACATAGCTAATATCCAAACAGCAAATATGCAGTCTAAAAGTGAGGGGATATGTACTAGCATGTTTTACAGCAAAAGCCATCTCCTTCAGCCTACTTAATGCCTCAAAAATCCCTTACATAACTACACCAGACAGGTCACAGATAGACAGATATGGATAGAGGTATGAACAAAGATGCACTAATCATGACATAAAGGCAACAAAAGTTACCTTTCGGAGAGTTCTTTACTATGATCAGCTAATACATCCTGTCTATCCTGCAGAGCTTTATCCCTTTCTGCGGATACCAACAACAATTCTCTTTCAGCATCCTGCAACACACAAAAGTTAAGACTGATACATATAAAATTCATAAATATGCCAATAAAGCAACAGCAAAAAATTAGAAATAGCGGATCACTCACTTTCAGTGCTTCTTCAAGTGCTTGAAGCTGTTCGGAGTCCTTGGCTGCTGCAAGCTCAGCATCCTTCTTCTGGAGAAGTGCATGAGCACGAACCTTATACGAGGAAAACTCACTTTCAAGGCGGTTGATCTGCAATAGATGAATGCAGAAAGAAACAAGTCAGTGGAGAGTAGAATTCACAATGAATTGGTCCTACCCCATAACCTCCTTTCAAGACTTGTGAGTACTCTCATCTTTGGCTACCTCCATCAATGATCAAATGACAGATGTAAAACACTCTGAAGGTCTTTACTAAGAACCAATGTTAGTACCTCGTGTTTTGCTATTGATAGTTCAGCATCTTTCTTGTTGAGTACCTGGGTCTGAGCAGACTTTTCCGACTCCAATTGGCCTATGCAACAAGGAGAACATAATGATTTGCAAAAAGAAAGACATCACATTAACAAGAAGATGATGATGATGATGATGATGATGATAATAATAATAATAATAATAATAATAATAATAATAATAGTAATGATGATGATGATGATAATAATAATAATAACAACGAATTGTGTGGGTACTTCTTAGCTTAGCTGCTTCGATCTCAGAATGTATGCAGTTGCTCTCTGTAGTTTCCAGTTTCATTTTGAGTTTCTGTATGTCAGCTTCAAACCTTTCTTTTTCCTTCTCCTGAAAATAGACATATGATTAAAAAGGCCTTAAACACAAAATGTATGCATGTATTGATAATATCAGTTCAACATTTCAGCTAACAACCTAGTACTTCAGCCAAGTAAACTTTATCCATAAAAAGTGATTGTTTGTTGAATACTGACAGAAATAAGGATAACACAGTTCAGAAGAAAGGACAACAATTACACGGTTTTGTTGTTGTAATGCATAATTGGTTCTATATTTAACTGCTTGCTGTTCTTTTCATATATCGAATCTTGGTACTTCCCAGTAGCTGCCGCAGGACCAAGCATGTAATAGAACGGACAGTTGCTTTTCAATTACACTGGTTAAGTTATAATGTGATTTCTAACTGTCTGAGCCCAGAGGTGCTCACGAGTCCCATGCAAAGATTGCTTATATCAGTTTAAACATTACTAGATTGCAAACAGTCCCAGAGTGAGCAGAAAAAATATATGAAGGGGCTGAAGTTGAACAGAATGCAAGAGAATAAAGCAATATTTGACTCCGAATCAGAGGAAGTAGAAGTATTTGAATTCATACGTGTTCATGTTTTTTATGAGCAATTTCTCCCTTCATACTTTCGAAAGAAGCCCTAAGTCGTGCCGCTTCTCCACTGGTAGCTGCATCAATCTCTGCAATCTTTGACTCTTTCGCTGCAACTAGAATCTGTAAATCAAATCACTACTTAGCTCCACCTTTCCATCCATAAAATTTTCCAAACAAACATGAGCCCCTAATTAATGAGCTTTGAGTTGCTTTAACCAAAAATTGACCTTCAGTAATGAACCATACCTGCAGTGAAGAAATAGTTTCAGTAGCCCTCATCCTCTCGGCTAAAGCATCAGCAATCTGGGCTTCCAGATGTTCTATATTCTGGCATAAACAAAAAGGAAGCAGGCATACAGTTAACCACTACAAAAGTGAACTACCAAAGAAAAGGAGGATTCTTGATAAGAAAAAGAACCACATGACAGGCATTGCAAAAGATAACCTCTTGATGCTTGGCAGAAAGCTCGGATATTGAAGTTTGCTTTTTTTCTTCAGCAGATTTTAGCAACCCCCGCATATCTCCCAACATCTAAGAGCAAAGCATGAGAAAAAAGTAAGTAATTTTCAAGGGCAAAACAGTGAAGAAACAGAATGAAGAAAGAATCAAAGGGATGAAAGTTTTGGAACACAACATGAAAACTGCTGAGTTGGATTCAGTTATAGGGGGAAAATCCAACAACATTTATTTTAATACCTGTTCTTTCTCTGAAAGAGTATGTTGCAATGCCTCAAGAGCACTTTCTTTTGGTTGCATGGATCGACGCAATTCCTCTATATCATCTCGAAGCCTGAATTTTCAGTGGAGATGTCATTGATTGAGGAAAAGCAAATAAAAAAAACTGCTTCACAAAGAGGATGATCTAGATAGAGCTAAAAAAAGATATATAATTTTGTCCGCAAGAGGACATAGAAGATGTTTTCACTTCATGTGCAGGAAGATAAAGATACTTGTCACTAAGAAGGCTGTATACGGTAAACCCAGCCTATAGGGAAAAGGACATTTGATGTTGCAGTGGCTACTGATTGGCAGAAATCACAACCATGTGCCCATAGGTTTACATAAATGTCATGGATAAATATTTTTGAGGACCATACCAACGACATAGAATGAGGACGTAATTCATCAGCCGTAAGACTAGGATATATCATTAGGAGAAGGCATTTTACTTGTTGTTTGCGCTTCTTAATTGTTGTCTCTCTCCATCCATTGCTTTCAATGCTTCATTTGCTTGTTGCCTGGTCCGCTCAAGCTCTTGCAGCAATGTCGAGTGCTGGGATGATGCCCGCTCAGCAGCTTCATTTACTTCACGAAATCGGGCCTCAAGGTCATCCTTTTCCTGAAAAGACAATCTCCAAGCAGCGCTTGGAGTCAGAACACATACAACTGCATAATTCTACTATGTGCAACATGGGATGCAATAAAGAGGAAAAGAGCATATAGTTGAAACCAATAAAAAAAGACTCATAAGCACTTCTTCAACATTATCATTCTGGACATATTACAAGCACAGGCTAATCTTCTAACATCTAGCATGGGGTCTTTACAGTTGGACGACAAATCAGACGTGCATGATGGATAAATTTAAACTAAAATATCAAACTAGGATCAGAATCCAGGGATAAAATTTACCTTTTGAACCTCTTGGATCCGCTGTTTAGCTCTTTTATGAAGCCTTTGAAATTTGGCATCAAGTTCAGCGTACTTATCTTCACGTTCTTTTATTTCCTGGTCCAACTTCAGCTGGGCTACAGATCAAGCAAAAAATTCAGATTAAGGAGGCTTTCTCATGTCTCATTCTATCAAATTTTCAAAGACATTCTAATATAATTTTCCTTCACACAGTTGACCCAGCATTAACAGGAAACATGGCTGACCAACTGTATAACAAGAAATTTTAAGGCCTCCAAATAAACAGACTACACTGACCTTCAGTGAGCTTGGCAGAGAGTTCTTGGGCTTTCCCATCAGCCTCTGAATAAGACTCTCGGAGATGCTCCAAAGCCACCTCTGCTGCAGCTCGAGTTTGTTTCTCTTCGTTAAGTTCCTCACTCAAAGCTTCTATCCGTTCATGGAGTTCTTTCACATTACACAAGCTTTCCATTTCCTGGTCACCTGATTCTGTTTTAGTGTGAGCACTATCATGTTCCACGTTCATACCTTTTAAGCCTTCAAAATGAGATTTTAGCACATCATTCTGAAACTTGAGTTCGATAACCATTTGCAGAAGCTGGTCGTGAGATACATCTGACAGCGGCTTGCTGTCATGGAAACCTTTTTCCATGGCAAGATTTGCGTTGCCATCATGTCCTGTGGAAGCCTCTTCCACGTGATGCTCAGCTGTTTCACCAACACTATCTTCTGCTGCCGCCATCTTGTCCGGTTACAAAATCCCGCCTAGGCTTACTCCAACTTGTTCCAATCTCCAAAACTAATTTGCAATTCCAACAGAAATAGAAATATGCTTAACCTGGAGAGGAACTACAAATACAAAGAACACATGTTTCAGAGTTCACACCATTGAACACTTAAACCCATCAGAGATATACCTTTTAGTAGCACATTCCCTCACAGATACATTGGCATTCAAGCTAAAAAGTCCAACAATTGGTTCGTTAATTATCGGATTTTTCAAAACACAGGCTAGAGCCTAAGGGAAAGCAAGGAGAAATCAATTGAACTGAGAACTAAAACTTCTGTATCTCTCATTGTCAAACTGGAAGACAACCTAAATGAAGATATATACCAAATACAAAATTCAGAACAAGTAGAGTTGGGAAGAACTCTGATATCCAAACAAAAACAGAGAATTCAGATCCCAAGTCCCTTGGAGGGAGAACCATTATCATGTTGCTCATCATGTGACAATCACTCACCTTACAGCCAACAAAAATGACAATAGAAGGCTTTCCCAATGCAGCTAAAGCCAAATCCAGCTGAAGTTGCGATCCAGCTCTATTGGTCTTTAATCTGGAGAAGAGAGGACAATTTGTCTTCCCCAGACGGAGACGAGAGATCGAAATCAACGCAACAGCGACGAAAAATTGGGTTGGGATCTCGCACAGCTTTGCCCGCGAGGGAGGGCCGAGCCTGAAACGTTCCCGTTTTCCTTCTACTACGCCTTCCTGCAATGGTGCCTGGACACGGGAGAGAGAAGAATCCGATCTCGTCTAGCGGCGACAACCGTTGTTGAATGGGATTTATCCGATCCGCAACAGTGAACTTACTGGACTCAATTAATCTATGGGTAAATTTTAAGATTCATCACTCGATTTATTAATTTGTATCACGACTGCAATCAAGAACTTTTCCTCTTTTTTTCAAAAGATATCATGTATTGATCAAAAAAAGATAGTTACACCCCTAAAACCAGCCAGGACTGGAAATCAAAAAAGCGACTCATGGTCGGAAACAAAGAAAGGGCTTTCCTAGCTACCAAATGAGCTACCCTATTGTTCTCTCGACCTACAAAGCGCACACTAAAACCAGATTAAGTACGAAAGTAATGAACAATCTCTTCCAGAACAGCACCCAACCTGCTATCTCTCGTATCGGCTTGATTAATTTTGTCAATAACCACATTCGCATCGCCCTCAAAGCGGACCTCCGACAAGCCTTGCTCCAAACACCAAATAATAGCTTCCCTAAGCACAAGCAATTCCACCATCCCTGGGTCATCCAAATGAGAAAACTGGACCCCTCTAGCCAGCAAAATCCTCCTTTCTGGGTCAAAGAGAACCATCCCACCAGCCGAGTGCGATCCACACCTAGTAGCCCCGTCCCACGTGCAAACCAAATGGGAACCACCCACCTGCATTGTAGGTTGCAACACTGGGGTACTTATTGGCGGAGTTCGATCCACAGGGAGACCCACTCATTCCTTATACTGTTGGTGAAACTGTCGCATGAGAGCCGGGAACCCAAATTGTTTGTCCTTAAAGACAACCCAATTCCGAGATCGCCAGATCCTCCAAAGGATTGCAACAACAGCCATAACCACCGACGGTTGATGAATTAGCACCAACAAACGGTTTAGAAACAAAGGAAAAGTGTGTCGAGGCCATCCCTCCCCCAAATATTCCAGCCCTGAATAGTCCCAGAGGGCCCGCGCAACCGGACAGGAAAGGAAGAGGTGTTCCATCGTCTGCGGGCCATCCAAGCAAACTGGGCACCTAGGGAGAACCTGAACCTTTTCTCAATAAGCGCCTCCATAGTTGGGAGAGCCCGATTAAGGATTTGCCATACAAAGACCTTCAACTTCGGAGGGATCTTAGCTTCCCACACCCTTATCCAACTGGGTTTATCCATCCAGCTTACGGATGACCGACACTCGCCCCTCCTCCTATCCAGATCGACAGCCAAATGATAAGCCGACTTTACCGAGAAAACCCCGTCAGCTGTAAAATGCCATATAAGCTTATCCGCCACATCCCTTCTAGGAAGGGGAATGGCTGTGATAGCCCTACAGGTGAGCGGGTCAAACCACTGACGGAGTTTTTCATCAGACCACCTCCCTTCCCCTTGACAAATAAGCTCAGCCACCAGAGCATCCCGCCCCCCCCCCCCTCAGGCAAAATCCGCGGATTATAGCATGGGGGGTCCAGTTGGTACCTGGGAATCCAGTTAGAGTGAAGGATAGAGACCGGCTGGCCATTACCAACTTGCCATCTTAATCCCCTCTCCAATAACTGCCGCCCATGAAGGATACTTTGCCAACCCCAAGAGGGACGGGACCTCGCAGTCGCAGTCAGGAAAGACCCATGGGGGAAATACTTGCCTTTATAAATCTGGGCAATAAGCGATTGAGGGTCACTAAGAATACGCCAGCCTATCTTTGCCAGCATAGCCTAATTAAAATGCTCAAACTGGCGAAATCCCATCCCTCCATCATGCTTACTCCTGCACATGTTTCGCCAGGATATCCATCTAATCTTGGGACTACCCTCCTCAGCACCCCACCAAAAGCGGGCCACATGCTTATCAAGAAGAAGACAAAGGGCTAGGGGAAGGCGGAAGCATGACATAACATGAAGGGGAAGAGCCATCGCTATGGATTTAATCAAAATCTCCATCACAGCCCACGATAATGTCCTTCGCTTCCACCCCTGAAGGCGCTCCAGAAGTTTCTCCTCCAAATATCTGAACGTAGCCAAATTGGAGCGAGCAACCAGCGTGGGAAACCCCAGATACTTATCCTGGACCCCCACTGCACCCACTCCGAGGATCGTGGCCAAGAACTCTTGATCAGGCGTGGAAACATTCTTACTAAAACACACCGCCGATTTCTCTAGATTGATGCGCTGGCCACTCAATTCCTCATATTCATTCAGTACTTCAATTAAATTCTCGCACTCCTGTAGGGAACCTCGCAAGAATAAGTAAGAATCATCGGCGAAAAACAGGTGCGAGACTCTTGGAGCCCGAGGAGCTACTTTAACCCCTTCTAATTTTTTCTCTGTGATCGCCTTCCGGAGGAGGGCTGCAAACCCCTCTATGCAAAGCACAAACAAAAGGGGAGAAAGCGGATCCCCCTGGCGAAGGCCCCTAGAGGCAGTGAAATAACCAGAGGGCATACCATTCATCAGAACCGAGAAAGAAGAAGATCGAAGACATTCATGAATCCAACCTTGCCAGACTGAACTAAAACCCATCTTCTCTAAAACCGCAAGAAGAAAGGGCCATTCGACTCTATCATAGGCCTTTTCCATGTCAACCTTGAGAGCCATGTACCCTTTCTTCCCTTGCTTTTTTATTTTCAGATAATGCATTAGTTCATGTCCTATAAGGATGTTATCAATAATCTGTCGGTCTTTGATAAACCCATTTTGGCCCTCGTACACGATATCCGGGAGAAAACTAGCCAACTGTGTAGCCATGATTTTGGTAATCACCTTGTAAACAAATTGACAGAGGCTAATCGGCCGCAATTGTCTCATTGTTTCCACCGATTCCACTTTAGGGATCAAAGTGAGCCAGGTATGATTAAAACTCCGCAACATCCGGCTTGAGGCAAAAAAGGATGTTACTGCTTCAACCACCAAAGTGCCCACAATATCCCAGAAAGCTTTAAAAAACTTTCCCGTAAAGCCATCCGATCTCGGGGCCTGCTTTGATCCTATGGAAAAAACTGTACTCCGAACCTCCCCAGGCAAAATCTCTGCCGTCAAATGTGCATTCATTTGCGGAGCAACCTTTCGGGCAATCGGCAGACTCGCCACCCTTTCAGCCATGTTAGGAACCTGAGTTTTTGAAGTAAATAGGGTCTGGTAAAAGTTGGTGGCAATAGAAGCCTTTCCGGACTCCTCAATGACCCATTCTCCCTCCGTATTACGAAGTCCGGAAACAAAGGTCCTCTTACGCCTCGCCCTTGTGACCGTATGGAAGTAGGCAGAATTCTGATCTCCTTTTTTTAGCCATTTAACCCTTGATTTCTGTTGCCAAAAAACCTCCTCTGCTTCCCATTGGCGGGAGAGCTCTGTCTCTAGCTTTCTGATCACATCCCAGTCCACCGGATGGATCGACTTAATCCCATCAATCTCAGCTTGGAGTGTCTTGATATTGCGCAGGAAATTAGTTTGCCCGCCCTGCTCCAATCATAAAGCAAGTGCCGGAGTTTCTTTAGTCGCTCCCACAGTCTAAACATAGGGGTTCCTTGCATCTCCTCCTGCCAGACATAATGGACCATAGCCCTAACCTCTAGGTTATCCGCCCAACGAGCATCAAAACGAAACAGAGGCCGACAACTCCGAGTATAGGGTTTATTGGCAAGAAGGAGGGCGCAATGATCCGACCCCTGGTCCGTGAAATGTTTGACCAAAGTATCTGGATAAGTATCTATCCAGGATTGAGAGCAAAGAGCCATATCCAGACGTTCACGAATGCATGCCTCCCCCATACGCTTATTGGTCCAAGTGAATTGATCCCCTTGGAAGCCTGGGTCATGGAGCCCCAAGTCATGAACAAAATCCCGAAGGCTAATGGCTTGAGCCGCATTCCAAGCCCGTCCCCCATCCTTTTCCCCCTCATGGAGGGTAGTATTAAAATCACCAAGAACTTTTCCTTTCTATTGGTTACTGTTTACATCAAAATAATTTTCATTAATTATTGCTTGTGTGAACAGTTTGGTCAATTTAAGTAGTTGGTCCATGTGTACATAATGGTCCAATTTATCAAGTCAGATCATAGGAATAATAGATGGTAGTGTCCAATATCATGGATACCATCCAAATCCAATAATGGATGGTAGTGTCCAATATCATTGATGTTATAACCGGGCTGCTCATTAGTATGATATTGTCCGCTTTGGGCCAAGCCTGCATGGTTTTACTCTTGGGTGTCCTCCCCAAAAGGCCTCGTACTAATGAGCTTGGTGGACACTAATATACAAGGGTTCTTTCCCTTGTATTACCGATGTGGTACTTGCATTGTCCCATAACAATCCTCCCCTCAAGCCAAGGACCACGAACTTCGTGTCCTCACCTCAGCGATTATCTTGATTCGCCAGACACCTTGTATCGATGAGCTTCTCGTTACAAGGATTTTTCCATACGCGGAACTCTCTTTGATCCGCCAAACAGACGTGGATCTATCCTAGATCCACCAAACAGCCCAGACGCAGAACTCTCTTTGATGTACCAAACGAACGCGGATCGCAAATCCCGAGGCCACCAAACGAGGGTCCCACCAAACTGACGTCCACCGCCCCGGATCCACCGAACCAGGCTCTGATACCACTTGTCAGAACAGAAGCGTGCAATCGATAATCCAAACCAACACAAACGAACACAAATTTAACGTGGTTCACTAACACAATGCGTGCTAGCTAATCCACGGGCAAGGGAGAACAAATTTCACTGATTTGAGGAGAGTACAGGTTACAAACCAAATTCCAAACGGACAAACCAAACAAACTATCCTGACTGACCTTACTACAGACTAGGGTGATGAAGAGTATTTATAGAACTCTTCTCCTAATCCCAAACAGAAAACCAAATACCTTTTCCCAAACATACAAGGAAAAGGTCAAAACAAAACCCAATCCCAAACCCAAACAGAATAGGCCTAAAACACAAAACAAACCCAAATCAAATTCAAGTCATATTCTAACAATCTCCACCTTGACTTGAATTCTCTCTCAAATACCAAATATACCAGATGCAACCAAAGTTGCCAGATGTAGCCAGACGCAACCAAAGTTGCCAAATGTACCCAGACGCGATCCATATCAC